TAAAATGTAACATCTGAACACTCATCATTGTTCTTCAAAACACGGATCAAGAAACTGCTAATCTCGCTTTCCAATTGTTTCATTCCATACATAACAATAACCGATTAGATTTGGAATATTATAAATCGTAAAATTTAGGGCTGCAAGCTTACTTTTGTAATAAAAATCACTGACCAAAGAGCAGGGAGAAGGTAAAAGTGCCTCCATATCATACACCGCGATTATCAGAATTGGATTTTATTTAGCTAGAGCAGTATCTTTTTTCTTCTCTTCTCGTACAGCCGTTTTATTCGGAGATATTCTTTATAATTTTCTTGAATACCTTCCTTCTCAGCTATCGACGAATTCTTATATGTTTCACATAGACTGCATTGGTCTTTTTTGGGGGAATGAAAGCCTATAATATATTCAAAGTATTTTGGCATATTGGTGATATTTAGCAAGGGATTTACCTGATTGCTTGCACATCTCTACGTAGAGTTTGTATAATGTATTCAAATTAAAATTCTCCTCGAATTACCTTTTGTTTGGGCCCTTAAGTAATGCGATTCTACTGTTGGTATGGATTCAATGTGATTTCGGATCATTCGCTATGCGATATAAGGATTTTGCCGCAGCATTCATCTATTGAGTGTAAGACTATCTTATCTGTGATGTGACAGTCTTCCTCTCTTAATATAAGTGTTGCAATAAAGGATAAAATAGTATCTTAACTGCAAAATTATATCATGTATATTGAATTTTGAGCTAGGATAGTTTTGTTCACACACAAGTAGTCATAAAATGTAGCATTCTATCCACTTATATAAAAAAAGATGACATTTGAGAAATCTATTCTTTTCTACGCCTCCTGTTGACTCATTTGTGGAGTTTTGTGTAATGGAGCATCTACGAGCAATTGTAGGCAATTTAACGGCAAGTTACTTGCGTTACATCAACAGCTCCCCCCAAGTACCGTCGATTCAATGGGTTGCCTACACTATGCGGGAAGAAACCTTCAGGCTTAAGACCGTAAGACGGGTGCTCTTGTCGCTCGACATCAACAAAGCTTCTAGTCCGGACCTCATTCCAGATGTTGCCTGAAGAGATGTGCAGCGGGGCTTGCTCTAGGTCCTTCGCGTCTCTTCCAGATATCTTACGGATCCAGTATTTTCTCAGAAAACTATAAATTTGCTCATTCTCGGCCCATAAGAAAAAACAGATCTAAGGCCGACCCTTACAACTACTGACCTATCCACATCTCGTCAAAAGCGGCAGGTGCCCAGATATAATTTAGAGCTAAGAAGTACTTTTCTCCACATTGCCTCTTTAATCTGCACACGGCCCAGATAAGACCCAGCCTCGAGCACTGCTCACATGTTTGGGGTGACGCCGCCTCTACATTATCCATGCTCAATGCTGAGGAGGGCTGTTCGTCTCATAGATGACTCTTTTGCTTCGACAAGCCTTTGGCGATCTAGCTCTCTTCTTCCGCTATGTCAAAGGGCTTTGCTCCCAAGAACTCTCTTTCATGATGTCGCCACGCGACGAGCCTTTCAGACAGACCCACCTGATTTCGGCTTCACATCCTAACCGTGTCGAACCTCGTATAGCCAGAACTGGCCATTACGACCGCTCCTTTTTCCCTAGGGTAACTGTATTGTGGATCAAGACCTTAGGCAGTTAAAAACTCGGATTAGCAAAGTATCTCTAAATTCCTCATAACAGCCGCAATGCCCTGGTATTTAGGCTTCTGCCCACGTGGCCCTTTCTGAATGAAAAATACATTAGGATTCCAATAATTCGGCAATCTGATCGTAATATATGAAAATGCGTCGTAAATATGGTACATGAGTAGCAATACAGCCAAGCAGTATATTTAGCCCGTTTACAAGCGCCATAAAAGTAGTACAGCCCACTGAAGACGCTTGACGGCAGAATTTCATCAGAATCATATGCCATCGCATGATATTTCCTTACAAAGCACGAAGGTTCTTCCTTATTCTCACTAAATATGTCAGATAGGCATCTGCGACATTGTGTTTCGCACGTGACTTTAATTGCGAAAGCTGAATTCTGATCGTATTTACCTTAAGAAAATATCAAGAAAGCGGAGTGTGTGTCTTGAATCGGAAGGAATTCTTGAGCTCCTAACCATGAATCAATTCCGGAAAGTACTTGCTTTTTACATTAATTTATATTCTGCTTACGGAAAATCACCAAGAGAACCAATCGGTAGCTTGTGATGAAATCCTTTCAGCCCTCTTGAGATTTTCTCCGTGGTTTCTAAGATGAGATTCTAGGAAAATATCATCTTAGATATTTTCCTCACCTGACCGATATACCGATGGGATCCGCTGTATTAAGGTTTTCCCTTTTAAGCTGCGCCCTCTGTGCCTGCTAAGCAGATTTGCCAAACTAGCCGTGTTCCACTCAGCGTCGCGTAGTTCGTCTTAGTACTGTCAGCCTTTTATTTATTCTAGACTTCACAGGATTAAACTTCATCCAAGATTTAGCCAATCGCATCGCGTTGATATAAACAACAAAAATGACGTCAAGTAGATTGACTTGGTACTACCATACCTTAGAAACAACTTATAGTACAAATCTTCCATGAGGTGCAATGACACCAAAATTCCTCAGATTGCAGCAATGAGCGTGTGACTCCGTACACGGTAACTCCATTTTCTTGGCGTTCTAGTATAAAACTGTTTGTCAACAATGTTTGATGCCTGATTATAATAGCTCTTGATATATATATATATATATATATATGCTATTAACTAATGCAGATAACTAATCTCGTAAAATTACTCATTATCATGATGGTATATATAGATAATATAGCGTGCGCCTCGTACATGCATATCACATCACCTGCTACCTGCTTTCTTCGGGTCGGATCTAGTAACGGTGCTATAACTCGAGATCGAGGGCCAGCCATGCAGTCATATGCAGACAGAGTTTGCTGCATGAAGGAAGCAGTTACGCGATCGATGCATGATTTGCATCTGTAAAAATGTCACATAAAAATAGTTTTGAGAGCAAACTTATTATATGTGAAATTTGTATAACAGGTGCGTAGAATTACCGGGGTTGGCAGTGAATTGATATACTAAAATCTAAAAGTTGCGAAACACCCTTCCCTCACAAATCTTCGCCCTCAATTTTTCACCCATTAGATTTTTTTCGAAAATGATCAGGACCCTCTGAAACGGCAGAAACTGGGCTAATTTTCAAAAACTACAAAGCTTTTTTGTCCTCGGGAAATAATAATAATAATAATAATAATAATAATAATGTGTCTTTATTTTTTGGTTAAAAGAACAACAAAGTAAAAAAAAATAATTTGATGAGGGAGGCGGCATTCAACACCGTTGATCTACCATGATATCCCCGTAGATATGCTAACAATTACTACAGATTAATAATATATGTAATTAAAACATCAAAAATTAAACTATTGTATCCTTTTCACATGGCATTTGACTTTATTTTGGAAGCTACTAAGTGAGAGTTAATTTTTTACTGTATCTGGCAATGAGGTACATTGTAGATGCAACATAAGTAAATGACTTTTTAAAGTGTTCAGTACTATGGAACGGAACATCATAGAGATTGCAAGTACGAGTTTTCCTATCATGAAGATCCGATCTCTTAACACAAGTTTGGTATAAAGATAAAGTGGTAGCTGGATTTTGTTAATATTGTAAGTTAAGCAAGCAAGATGTTAACCAAAAGCGCTCATACATGTTGAAATTCATCACTGAAGTGGTAATATTTTTTCAAACCGTTCGCAAATTTATTACATGAGCTCTGAATTTTTTGAATAGAAAGTTTGTCTCTAGTAGTGAGAGGAAGATCGTATCAACGAATCGCATAGATTCAGTCTGACTTCGGTAGGGAGAGCATTCTTGTAAAGATAAAAAGTTCTTAATTTAGCATACGCTTTTAGTAAGAGATGCTTAACGTGGGGCACAAATTAAAGAGTATTATCCATATATAGTCCCGGATTTTTACATTGGTTGCTTGTTTGTGCTACAGTGTTATTATTGCAGATTATAAAATTCTGGTTGTCAGTAACCCCCCAAAAATAAGCATTTCAGTTTTATTTTCATTTAATACAACGCTGTGGGCTCTTACATATCCAGATAAATACTCAAGATCAGAACTGATATGCATGTAGTGAACATAAACATCATCAAGTTTGAAAGAGAAATACAATTATGTATTGATGTGTACTGCAAAATTCCAGCTGACTTTTAAAATCTGACGTACACAGTGACAACAGCAAAGGTTCTAAAATACTACCTTGTGGCACACCTCTCGTTGTACTACGAAACTGATATACGTGTCCATTACATTATGTGCACTGGGATCTGCCTGACAGCCACATTGCTTAGTCCCAGAGATTTAAGTTTCGAACATCAGATTGAATGATCAAAAGCTTTACTGAACTCGAGCAAAATCAAGCAACTATGCGAGTTCATCTTATAAAGCTCGATCGTGTAGTAGGAAGTAGATATATTATATAATACTTTCCAAGTAATAGATGAACCAGGAATTGGCGGACAGATAGACCAACAGACCGATAGAACGACGGAATTGAGTGACATGGTTTTTCATTACATGTCATATAATATCCAAAAAACGTAATATCTCGTTTTCGAATTTACAATATTTCCTCGTCAGTAGACGCGGGAAGTAAAAAGTAAATTAACGAATTATCGGGAAAGCTCTTAAAACAGATCATAGAAGCCTAAGTCTGCTGATATACATTATTTAATGACTATCAACTGTTTTATGCATTGCATAAAAGAAAGAATTATCACACGCGACCTATAAAATGGTCGACATGTAAATATTTACATTTTGGAGCAAATCTGGAACTTTCTCAACTTGCTTTCATGAAAAAGATTCACATGCGTAAATACTATAGAAATTGAATTTGCAACTATTTTATGGAAGATTTTTTCATTGTTAAGAACATATTCCAATAACATTGATAATATACTGGTCACACGTATTGCCTGATATCAACAAATACGGACAATGAGTGATGCGTTAGATTAAAAGCAACGGTTAGGAGGTTATTGTGAAATAGCAGTGTTAGTTTAAACTTGCAAAATAGGCTATATGTTTACATGCAATGCTCCTCCGTCATGTGCCATTTCTGCGTGGCTAATTTTCACTTAGTTAGCTTCCATGTAGTATTTGGCTTTTGTGACACAACTGTTCATAAGCCAGGTCAAAAGAAAGAAGAAAAGGAGTAAGCACGGAGCGAGGAGTAAAGCCAAAAGGTTGTGCGCAGGTAGGTGAGAAAACTGACGTACCGATTGTTTATCTAGCTGATATCATCCTCAATCAATGAAAATCCAGAAAGCCCCTACGTCTTCTGGCTGAAAACTGCTGGATGTCTGCACTATATACAGATAGATGTCGCACCACTATCACTGTCGATCGCACCCGTTTGCGTAAGTGAGACTATGTCGATTTTCAATGACATTATGCAAGAATGTCACCTTGAATCTAGCTGTCCATCAATCCATGTTCATTTGTACCAGCTGTGCGTGTTGCTTAAAGCTATATGGTTTGGTTCTGATGTGATGTCTGTGTTAAAGATGACACTAGCGCAGTTCGTGTACAGTTTTTATGGCTTAACTATAAGTCTTTACTATAAGTCGTTGTGCCGTTCCTCCATAGGTGGCGCTCACATCGAGTGCGTGTGGTGTGGATTAGCGGCTAGCAAACAAACCAGCAATCGCTTTCTATGCATATACTCATAAATAGACGCAGGCTAAACTGGATAGGCTTGCCTTCCGTCTTCGAAACTTGGGTAGATGAAGATCGTTAGCTTTGAGTTTTTCAAAAGGCCATACCCATGTGTTTGCTTTCCATCTGCCTCGCTCTCCATGACTAGAGCTGTACCGCACTGATGAGTTGCTAACACCACTGTCTGCGGTTGGTCATAGTTACAGCAAACATATACAGTTGATAAACTGCTGTCTTGATCCAGGTCTAAAGGCTGTCGTCAGTTGGAATTCCTTCCTAACGTTTCGCTGGCACGAGTGTCAAGCTTCTTCAGAGGCCCTTCCATTAACGATGCTGGATGTAGACTGACGATTTCTCTTGCTCAGGTTGTATGTATACCGGAGGGTATGGGACGCGGCTTGTTCCGCTTCGGTTGACTTTGGGTTGAGTCTGAGGGTCTCTTCCTTCATGTTGAAGTTATCTGGATGTTTGTGAATCTCGATAGCTTCCCTGACCAGTCTATTGTGATAGCCGTTGACTGATGACAGCAACCTGCAGCTCCCAGAGTGTATCCTGTGGTCCCAGTGCTTAGTGCATGTTCAGCTACCGCAGACTTCTCAGTTTGTCCTAGTCGGCAATTTGCTTTATGCTCCTTGAGTCTCGTTCCCATTGATCTTTTCGTGGTTCCAATGTATACTTTGCCACATGAACACGGTATGCGGTAGACTCCTGCAGCTGAGAGTGGGTCCTTCTTGTCCTTTGCCGATCTGATGGTTTGCTGGATCTTCTTCGTAGGCTTGAAGAGTGTTTTAATGTCATGTCTCTTCAGGAATCTTCTCCGTGACTCTTGGCACAAATGGAAGATACGCTTGTGAGGTGGGGGGACCCTGTTCGGTTTCACGTGGCCTGGCTGATCTTGAACCCATTGATCTTTCGATGTCCCTCTGGCTGTAGCCATTTGCTTTGAACGCAGTTTTGAGGTGTTCAAGTTCTGTCTGGAGGTTCTCCGGTTCGCAAACCCTTCGAGATCGTTCTGTCAGGGTTCTGATGACTCCATACTTCTGACTTGGGTGATGATTGGACAAAGCGTGTAGGTATCTGTCTGTGTGCGTTGGTTTCCTGTACACTGTGTGACTAGTACATCTAAGAAGGCCAGTTGTTGGTCACTCTCTATCTCCATGGTAAATTGTATGCTTGGATGCCGATCGTTGAGGTGCTGCAGAAACTCGTTTAGCCTGTCCGTGCCATGTTTCCAAATCACGAAGGTGTCGTCCACGTACCGGAACCAAATTGCTGGTTTGTTCTCTGATGTCTCAACCGCCCTATTCTCAAAGTGTTCCATAAAAAGGTTGGCTATGACTGGGCTAAGTGAACTTCCCATTGCCACTCCGCCTGTCTGCTCATAAAAGCCCCCGTCCCATACGAAGTAGCTTCCACTGAGACAGATTTCAAAGAGCTTGCAGATGTCAGAAAGGAAGATCCTGCTCACCAGATCCAGGCATTCCCTCAGCGGTACCTTGGTGAAAAGGGAGACGACATCGAAGCTCACAAGGATGTCGTCGGGTTCAACTACGATGTCCTGAATCTTGCGCACAAAGTCGGTGGAATCCTAGATGTAGCTGGTACTCTTTCGCACGTATGGTTGCAGCAGGGATGCCAAGTGTTTCGCTAAGTAGTACGTCGACGATCCGGGAGCATTGGAACATCTGCCTTGTGGATCTTGGACAGGCCGTAGAGCCTTGGTGGAACCGCTTCCGTCCTCGTAACGCTCTTCTTGGTGTCTTCTGGCAGCTCGAATTTGTCATAGACAGTTGAGCCATATGCAAAGAAAACTCTTGTGGAGAGTCGCGTTTACCATGTAGAACTGACGAATTTCGTTTTGGCAACAAGTGTAACCATAATCAGGTTTTTTCTGCGATTTTGATAGTCAAACTTTATAGACAAACAAGTATAATGAGCTGGAATGGGAACTGCACCAGGAGGTGGATATCGAAATTTTTCTTTAAAAGGTAAGTGTGCTCAGCGAAAGGAGGTTCCAACAGAAGTACAGGATGCCAATATATGATTGACTAGCTTATTTTTCCAGGATCTTCAAAATAAAACGAAATATGTGCATTTTTTTGCTTTTCAACATTTTATTGGAAGTTATGGATTATGTATAGATCATATCACATGAATGCCAATCTGAGGAAGCTGCAGAAACCCGAGCCCTCTAGATTACGTTTTCTATCGCTTCTTCCAAAAAATTCCTGTATCTCTAGCTGTGGGACTTTTTCCTACTATGACACTAGACCTCACATTCTAGAGGACGCTGACGGTAATTCCGTTGGTGTCACTAGCGAGCCTTACCACCATGATGCCAAACTTTATAACTTCTAGAATTTAGCAACTCATACTGCAAGAAATGTTTTGAGCAGGAAATGGTTATTTAACATTTTCCTCCAAAAACTTAAAAAATGTGATGGAAAAGGTAATTAACAGGGCTCAGGCTCGTGCAGCATTCAGAAGCTCCTATTTAAGAGATATCATATTTCATCCATAAAGAACTCGTATTGTCAGAAGCAGATGAAAAATTTGTTTTGTTTCATTTTATTTAGAAGATATTTGAGAAAAAAATTATATGTATTGGCTACCCTATTAAATACCATTCTAGGAAACGATATGTCAATTCAAAGTTTTGCACATATTGGCCCGTATCGCAGCAAATATTTTGCAGAACCAAGATTCAAGGTGTTTGGAACTAAGAAACATAATATCAATCTTATCATTGCGCTAGAAAAGTCGAATATTTCACAATATAAATTATTTAACATTTATAAGAGAAAATATAAACAATTTCATGTTTATTGTACTTGCTTTTAATTGATATTTAAGAATTTGGGTATTATCTACACCGTCTTACTGTAAGCAACTTTTTATCATTTCTTCTGGCCTACTTTTTCCTGCGTTACTCCCGAGATTTTCCATCCAGCAGAGAGCTAGCAATATTGTGATAATATTGCAATATCCTGTCCAATAAATTTCGTGCCACGTTCTAATGCATTTTCACAAAAATTTGTCTCTTCTCTGTGAGAAAAATTCCTACTTCTGTTTACCAAGTTACATACTCCTAACTCCTGAGGACCACGTTACATGCTTCCACGGGTATAGAAAAGTATACATACGTGTAGGTACCTATATCTAGGGACCGAAATTACTGGTCGTGACTCATGGTACATGCAAGTTGTAATTTCCATGATTCCATGTGCGTGTAAAGACATTAGCATAGTAAAATTATTGTGAATTGTCAGCAATACAAAGACAAGATTAGATTAGAACCTAAAGTAAGACAATTCCAATCACCATAATTGGAGTCATCAGAAGACAAATCATAGTCGTGTCTATTCAACTTATAATAACGACTGGTTCAACAATAATATCTATGTGATCCATATTTCCACATTCATATTTCTCCTAAGCCAACGAAATGAGCAAGTACAACAAATTGCAACGCCCTCGGCGGGTGTTTCAATTAGCAATGCGGTACGGGGTAGGGAGATACTATCAGCTGGTGCCCTAACAGGGTTATCACTTTGTCATTCTTCACGAATTCCTTGCATATCTATCTGAATATATGTCTTTTAGTTCCTCTAAAAGTTTCTGCGGATATTTTGAAATGTAAGACGGATGTTTAAAAAATGTTTTGTGATACATCCCAGTACAACGACTTGCATCACCCCATACAAGAACATTCACTCCGCTCTGTAGAAGTAGCCAGGCGACGCCAGCGCAGAGCGCGTGTGCTGGAAGACAGTCTGGCACGTTGATTTCGTTCCATCTGGTCCAGATACCAGCCTGGTGAGGATGTCAACCTGTGGTGGAGATGTATCATTAACACATTAACATTTGAGCATTCCTCAGTCAGCTGGTGCATCCGGCGGTCGATCACACATTCGATGGAGTAAAGAGACACTCACTAAATGTACTTTACTCTGATCAGAATTAAGTATAATTTCAAGGAGTTGAGTTGCTCCGACTTTTATGACTTTTTGTTGGAAAAGAAAGACATTCTAGCAAAAATTGGAGTCACCTAAATACCAAAAATAAGTAAGAATAACGTGATCTCGCTAGAATTAAACATATTTACTTTCGATTTATAACTAAAGAATAGTTTAGGGTTTTTGGTACCTAACCTATCCAGCTAGGTGCCATAATTTGTTTCATACTACGTTATATATTAGTAGTGTCTCGTTTGTATTATTATTTACAAAACAAACAATTTGAAAATGACAACGATGTTTCTGTGTATACGAGTATATATACAGTTAGGTGAGAAAAAGCTTCAGCATTAGTTGGTTACTTCGACAAATTGGAGCAAAGTATGCTATTACTTTACTATCTAGCTTTCGATGAACTATGTCATCATCATCAGGAGTTACGAAGCATTTGAAAAATAAGAACTACATGTGCATAATTAATCTCAAATTACTGACAGAAGTAGGCGAGATTGCTGCTAAATGTTATCAACTAAGTTAATAAGAACACCTAGTAGCCCGATAAAAGCTGTATCCTTGGTAGCAGTAGTTGAAATTTCTAATATACAGATGTCCATGTGTCAGAAAAAATTAGTACAACTGATTAATAAACTTTAGGATTGATTGTTAATTTTTTTGATTTTTTACACCGTGAAGTAATCTTGCTACTTGACAAAATGGCGCACGGGACAAGACCGTCGGAAGCAAAAAGAGCATGAAAGCTCTAATTTGTCGAAGCACCCAACTAAGCCTAAAGCTTTTTGTCACCTAACTGGATCTTTAGACGACAATGACCTCGGCTCACGTTATATATATATTTATATTTATTATAAAAAAATCTGGAAACTCCGGAGAAAAATCTCAATTTCACCCAAGTGTTCGGAGACTTGAAGCTTTTCTCTGGCGTTCGCAACTTAGGTAATGGAAGCCCTAGTATAAGAGTATATACCCCATACCCACTCATCGTTGCTGTACTGGTTGCCTGTACCACATCTCCAGTGACATGCGTTTATACGATATTTTGTAGTAGATTAACTTTACTTTATTGGAGGCTGTGACCGTAGCTTTTGATACTATATTACATTTTTGCAGGTTCTAAGTGATCTAAGTTCATTATGCCATATCTCTTGCTAATGGGGTAAGTGAAGCACATTTTTATGGCAATCGATAAACTCGGTATTCTTAATACTCTTAGGCACAAAAGGATCAGGAATCAGGGCAGATACGCACTCTGTGGCTAAGAAGCTCTTAAGCGATGTACAGTGTAGAGATGTGATTCTTCTTGTAATAGAGATGTAAACGACCAAGATCTTGCGTTCTATCCCTCACAGTCGAGTTACTATCATAGGTATATAGACCAGATAACGTTGATGTAAGTTAGATTGAATACCATGACATAATTTATTTAAAAAATAGCTAAGCCATTTAAGCTTCAGAAGAGTTGTCTCGAACCCATCGATTGAAGCTAAAATAATTGAGAATTCCAATATCCACTTTAATCGTGTAATTATTGTATTCTAAATTAGTGCATGCACATTTCCAGTAGAAAAACCTGACATTTCATAAAATCAAAATAAAAATTACGTTGAAACTCTTCGTGCTTCAAGCACCAAATGGCAGCTATTTGTAAATAATATTATAAATAGCTTATTGTTTTGTTGATTAGAAAACCGAACTATAATTAGTTTAATTCAGCATTCATCTCTCTCACAGATACACATGCAATCTGCCTCCATGTGTAGAAGGTTCTGTTTGTGTGGGCTCACAGACACACGTTTTTTTTTGTTTTGTCTCACCGCTTGAACATCTTGTTTACGTATGAGTTTTCCACATCAATGCTTGTCAATGTCAGTATGACAACCTGCTTGGCATCATCGCGCTTGTATATCTTTTGTTGAGCTCCGATAAAAAAACAGCGATATTTTATCGTCGCTGCCTTGTCTCATGTCTTCCACCTACTCCTTGTATGTTGATGTCACAAAAATATCATCGGGAACCAGGAAATCTTCTCTGTCACATCCAAAGCTTTGCGTGGATCCTTCGGCACTGACAAATCCGTCTCAACGCCAACCACCTGCAAGGCCATAACTATAAACTAATGAAAAATAACTTTCGAACTACACCTCGCCAATTTTTCCTGACTAACCAAGTGTCTGATACCATAACAGGTTGTCCCAAAACGTTGTTAATGCATTTACTGTTCACAGGTTCAAGAATTGTTTTGACAGATGGTTTCACGACTAACTGTAGTTTGCTTACAATATTATTATATTTTTTTCTATGTTTGATTTCTTATCTCTGTTTCGAGTGTGTAGCTTTCCTCTAGCCCTTTGATATAATTGGCAACAGGCCCCACGCTAGTTTAATTCGGCTCTTTAGGAAAGAACTACAGGTTCATGACCTGAGCTTAATGTTGAGTTGCTCCAATATCTCATTTATTACCTATATTTGGCATCAAGAAGTGTCATGCCGCATTGAGTCAAATAGAGATGCAGCGCCTAGTCACCTCAAGATATTATTCAAGTTTTTGTCGCTCAAACGTCCTTAATAACAAAAATTAAATAAAGTAAGTCAACCAACCAAAATGAGTTCTGCTGGCATTTTTATAACTCATTTACTGAACTCATAACCACATTGCTTGGTAGCCTAAAAAGGGGAGGACGTCGCTCCCGATATGAGTAAGAACAAGACCGCACATATGGGATTGCCCAAAAACTGAAAAGCAAAGTGTTCAGGTTACTTTTTGTACATTTATACATCCAACTGTGATTAACTTATATAAAGCTTAAATAATTATTACACAAAGAATTCGCTGATATCTCCCTATCTATTATATTAATTATACGGTTATCATTATGTTTATTTTGGAACTTTTATGATTACCGAGATAAAATCCAATTTATCAACAGATGCATTCACATTGCAGTAAAAATATATAGCCGACACTATTGTCTCATCGTCAGTCAAAATAAAATGAGAGTAGCTGTGATTGGTGCTGGCGCTGCTGGATTGTGTGCTGCAAAGAATGTCAAAGATCTTGGGTTCCAATGTGACGTATTTGAGATGAGGGATACCATCGGTGGGATATGGGTATTCACCGAACAAGTTGGTATGGACGCATATGGGTATACAGTGCATACTCCCATGTATAAGGAGTTAAGGTAAAGGGGGAAGACAAGGGTTAGCAACTATACTGTCAAAAACAGTATTATACTGTTTTGCATCTAATCTTACATTGTATTGTCCTACAAAAATAAGTATATAATAGTACTGCTCTCAGCATGCCAAACAGGTATCCATAGAACTATCTAAAAAGAAAATGAGAATGTTTATTCCAGATTAAAAATGAGCTCCTTATTCATTTTAATTTAAATTTTAATTGTATCGAGCCTTACGAAGCTTTCCAAAATGACATAACATTGATAATGCCTGCAAAACTAAATTACGAAATATGTCTTTACAAGATTAAACAAATAAAATAAGTATTATTGATTGTTATGTATTATTTATCAACACATATGTAGTAATAACACTTAAAAAGTATTAATAAACAAGTAAACTCTGTTCATTTTTTGAAAACACTGGTTTTGTTCATCCTCAGTCCAAAATATATCTTATTCCTTGTAAAAAAAGTTGACAACTCTACGAGACACATGTATTTGAATCTTTGTGTGTATCATATCACAAAATTATTAAATGGGACACAAAACCACATTGTTATACGTTGAGATTTTAGTTTATTGTACGACGTTTCGACCATCACCGTGAACTTTCTCAATTGATTCGGCCAGACAATGGAGTTAGGTTAGGTTAGGTCTCTTGTGAGTGCATCAATAACGATCCTCCACTGAGACTCTTTGGTATATTGTGGCTCACACCTATTTATATTTCCCCAGTAGCTCCGACCTCCCGAGGAAGTCGTTCAACTTGTTTGGAGAAGTATCGTTTAGGTCTTCTGCTTGGAGTACTACGTCTCCAAGTATGTGGTACCTGATTCTGGCAAATGCAGGGCATCTGCACGATACATGGCTGACCGTTTCATCTCCCTCCATGCACAGTCTGCACTCAGCGTCTTCCGCCATGCCCAGCCTGCTCATGGGGTAACGCAAATGGCCGTCCTACTACAGCTTTGAGGCTGTTCCTGTTCACCTAGTAAAGATTCTGTTAAACTCTTTATCAAGATTGGTATAGTCGCCTTAGCATAGGTTAACCCTGCTAATCCCTTCCAGTATTGATGGATCTTTCTGTCCATCTCTGCGAGATTATTTGTATATGATCCCAATCGTTGCCTATGAAGGGTGTGCTATCCCCACTTTTTGCCATAGCGTCAGCTGTCTCGCTTTCCTCTAGACCTGTGTGTGCTGGTATCAATATGAGACGGACTTCATTTCCCTCCCCTATGCCACTGAGTGCTTCTTTGCAATTCCACACTAATTTCGATGTCGAGTAGGTGGCTTGACTATCTGAAAAAAATAATTATAATTCTGTGGCTCAGTTGTCGTTCTGCGATCATTCTGGCACCCCGATTTTTAGTCCTTAGCTTCAGTACGAAGATACCAGCTCCAACACGTACCTCGGTCTTGGAGCCATCTGTGTATGCGCAGATATCTTTTCTTAGACAATGGAGTACTATGAACATGGAAGCCACGGGACAAGTTTCAGAAATTACATTAACAGAGTAAAAATCTATACTTTCATTTTTGAAACAAGGATCTATAAAATCCACAACTAATGTCTGTGATACCAGGACGCTACAGGGTGGGGAAAGTCGATGCATAATATTTTGCTTTTTTGAATTCGCGTCAACCTTTGGATATCAAGACATAGTGCTTCGTAGGTTTCTAATACAATGTATATATATATATATGGCGAGTTTCTGCAACCTAAGGTCGCTTCTCGCAACCCATACGCCATCGTATCCTATCGTTCCAGTCTCCTTCATGTAGTCCTCTACTTTCCATTGCGGTATGGATGTTTGAAATCCATTTCCTTCGTGGTCTTCCTCGTTTATTTCTTTGTGCTGGTGTCCATTTCCAAACCCTTAATGGTATCCTTTCTTCGTTCATTCGTTGCAGGTGTCCATACCATTTTAACTGCCTCTCTGTTATATCGTCCATTATTGTATTTTCGACTTCCATTCTTTCTCTGATGGTCTCATTTCTAACATGGTCAAGTAAAGTTAAACCGGATCATCTTCTCCAGTACATAATTTCGGTTGAGAGAAGCTTTTGTGACATATTTTTATCTACAACCCACGCTTCTGACCCATACGTCAGTACTGGCTGAATCATAGCCTGATATATAATTTTTTTTGTTTTCTTTGTTAGGTTCTTACTCCACAAGATCGGATGTAGTGCTTTAATCATATTTTTTCCTTTTCCTATTTTCCTTAGTATGTCTTTATTATCCTTTCCGCTTTCATCTATTGTAACTCCTAGGTACTGGTACTGTCCGACGTTTTCTATTTTTCCGCTTTTTGTTTCGATGTCTTGTCCTGTGCCTCCTATAGTCATGTATTGTGTCTTTTGTATATTTATCTCCAAACCCCATTTAGTGAATTCTTCTATAAGTTTGTTTATCATGTAAGTCATGTCTTGCTGGTCTTCTGCAAGGACTACCTGATCATCTGCAAAGAGGATTGTATACAAGTGAAAGTCCTCTAACCATATCCCCATGGGGCTGCACTTTCTTATCCACTGTTTTAAAGCGCTGCAGAGATAAATTTTAAACAGGGTTGGAGAGAGGCAAGAGCCCTGCTTAACACCTTTTGTTTGTGGGAAAGCCTCAGAAATTTGATTTCCGACTTTAACGACCACTTGATTTTCTCTATACATTGCTTTTACGGCGTTTATGTATTTGCTATTTATGCCTGCTTCTTTCATTGCGATCCATAATTTCTGCAAAGGGACGGAGTCGAATGCCTTGCGGAGATCTATAAAAGTAGCGTGTAGCTCCATTCCTCTTGCTAATCTCTTTTCTGTCAGTTGTTTTATTGTAAATATGTTGTCGACACAGGATCGCCCAGGTCGAAATCCACTTTGTTCTTCAATTTCCGTGGCTTCGTCTTCTAATCGGGCTGTTAGGACTCTTTCGTACAACTTTCCGATGGACGATGTAATACTAATACCCCGATAATTACTACAGTCACTCCTGTTTCCCTTTTTATAAATGGAATTTATGTAAGAGCTCCTCCAATCTCTGGGAATCGTTTCCCCTTCCAGGCACTTGTTAAAAATTACACAAAGTAGCTCGTGCGTTCTTGTGGTGGCGTGTTTAATTAACTCGATAGGCAAATCCCCCGGTCCCGGAGCTTTATTATTTTTCATTTTTTGTAATGCTGTTTTTATTTCTTCTAATTGAACGGTATCTACACTGTTAACTCCCGTTTGATCTATATCTAGTTGCGTGTCTAAATACTCTCCACGTTGTTCTGCAAGTAGATTATTGTAGTAGTCTTTCCACTGTTCTATTTTTATGGGGTTTATTTTTCTTCTTTCATTCGTGTTTGTTTTAAAACCATTTGTAGTTCGCCAAGCTTCTCTAGACCTAGATCCTCCTACCATTGAGCTAATTTCAGCACATTTGGTTTCCCATGTTTTGTTTTTTATTTTTTTTAATTTCTTTTTTTACTATATATATATATATTCTTTTTTTACTATATATACTAATACAATGTGTGCTTTGAAATGTTTTGTGCTCTTCAAAACGTTGAGAGCTAGAATACCAAATTTGACTCTCGCCACTGGGGTCCCGGAAACCGTAGTACATCAACATCACTTCTTCTCTTCTAAAAGATACCGTACTTAGAATTTCAATATGACGTTTTGTTACTTCTGCCCGTTCATCAACTTGATTTTTTCTTATAGACACCATATTAGATTTTTGCACAGGCGAAGAGAGCTTTCAACTCTGGTTTCAAAAAGGTATAATATGTTATATATTGTCCTTGTCAAAACTAAGTTATGTAAAAAAATACTAATATTCTCATAGCTGGCTTTGGAAATGGGAATTTATCACACCTTTATCTGATTAAATTATCAATCATTCAGTGTTTGAGAAGTATGCTTAAAGGACATTGATATAATTTGCCCATTTATCTACGTTAACAAGCGTCGTATTGAAATTCCAATCATGTCTCCATGTAGAAGAAAACAGTGGCAATGATACTGTACATTTATTTTGAAATACCATCTCGAATAAACTCAGGAAAAAAATAAGGATTTTGGGTAAATTCTTTCTTTTTCGTCACACCCGGAATCACGAAACCTTTTTCTTAGTTGGCCAACTTTCCAAGATCCTAATCGTGAGAGTTGCATTCGAAACATCCGGTATGTATCAGACCCACCTTCACTTTCTAAGTGCAGAGTAAATTTGAACTAAGCTTAATCACAAAATTTGCATACTGCCACAATGATAGAGGCTCAGCATTGTATCCACACATTCTATCACTGTTATATTTTCAGCACAAATCTACCAAAGGAAGTAATGTATTTTACGGATTTTCCTTGGAGTGTCCCGTTCCCACAAAAAAACGAATCTTTTATTACCCGGGGAGACGTCCTAGATTATCTTAATAAGTATGCAGATCATTTCAACATAAGGCCTTTAGTAAAGGTATGTTACAAGGATTGAACAACGTTTTCGATATTATATGTATATTATGATATAAAAGCAAGTTGCCCCCCTACTTTGAGAGTAACTGAAACTGAATGTGAGATCTAATAACTAAAATAAAAAAATATATTTTTAAAAACAAGTTTTATTTAGCTTCTTTCTGCACTGTAGTTTAAAGGTAATTTATATGAGCGCTTCCGCACCGGACGCCCATGAAATTGAGGTTTCAAAGTTATTTTCTGGAGTAAAAATTAATCTATGTGCTATTCCAGAGTATGAACTATCTCTGTGCTAAGTTCCATCCAAATCCATTCAGTTTTTTTAGCGTGATTGGGTGACAAACATCCACATTTTCTTATTCACAATGCTTGTGAGGATATAATCGCCACTCATGTTTCCCCTCAAAATAAAGGAAGTAATACATTTCAGTTGAACTGTTTAGTAAGAAATATTTGTCCTGTCGGAGATACTTGCTGGGAGGTTACTTACTTGTACAAACCAACACAAGAGACGATCACCGAATCCTATAATGTAGTTATGGTATGCAATGGCCACTACAATATACCTGCATATCCTGAAATACTATTTCAAGAGTTGTTTCAAGGAGAAAAACAGCATAGCCGGGATTATAGACATAATGGTTCGTATAAGGGGAAGAGGGTCCTGATCATTGGCTCAGGTCCTTCAGGAGTAGACCTGACGATACAGATAAGCCAGGTTGCCGAATATGTAAGTTATAAACTGTTCATGTTGGACTATATCATCCATCCTCTGATTCGTCCTATAGTTTATCAAAACCATGCGTGTAATGGAATAATTTTAACGTGACTTTCGCTTAATGAGGTAAAGAGGTCGTTGACTTGGTAGCTAGCAGCTTGAAATTTCATACTCTTTATCGAGCTAGGATATCAGTAAAAAATATCTAAATTCAAATGCCTTGATACACCGCCAGATAATGAAATCCTATCGGCATGCAAACCACTGCATGAGTTTCAAGTATTACGCTTCACACTTGTTCAAGGAAATAGAATAACGTTTTCCTCTCCTTCTAGCACTTGGACCTTTTCTTAGCCCATGTCAAGAGAAATGTGTGTTTAATTTTTAGATGCGTTTGTGTGTTTTCTCACTCACAAAATATCATACTTTACTGAATGTTGCAGAATCTCTAAGACAGAAATAACACAGATATCTTCTATTAAACGATCTTTTTTTAGGTTATCCTCAGCAATCATTCTGCGACTGTAGCAAAACAAACTTACAGAGAAAACGTGATAAAGAAACCAGATGTCTGTCGCATTGTCGATCATGAAACAGTTGAATTTGCTGACGGAACTACCTGCAAATGTGACGTCATCCTATATTGTACCGGTTACCAGTATAGCTTTCCATTTCTGGATGATTCGTGTGGCGTCAAAATTGAAAATGCAGCTGTTCAGCCTTTGTACAAGCACATGGTTCATATCCAAAGACCTACAATGTGCTTTATTGGTTTACCCTATTTAGTCGCAGCTTTCTTAATGTTTGACATCCAGGTAATGTTATTTATAATATTCTTTTTATCGTGCAATTGTATCTTTAACCTATCCATTGTAGTTATCAATAATCAATATTTGTAAAGCGATCCTTGTCGACGCTTTGATCACTCTCACTTCCCACAACTGGCGAAAAATGTTGTAACTGGGGAAAATTTCAAAATTTGAGGCATTAGACATTGGGGGTTGAGACCGTAGGGGGTGGAGGAGAGTATATTTCATTGTTTTTGGAGTTATTTCATTCAAACCCTTCCAACCCCCATAATTCAACGCACTCATTAGTACATTATCACACATCATATATCTACCTTTATATTTGTATTTAAAACCTACTATACTATACAGGGTGTTTCACAACTTATCCGACAAATTTTAACCACATATGCACTGTTACAAAAGAAGTTGATTTCTAAAAAAAAATGTAACAAAAGTCCTACAGAAATCGAGATAATAAGATAATACAGTTTAACAGTTCGCTTACTTATAAAAGCTGTTCAAATCTCCACTAGCACGTGCACGTAAAACAATAATTAAACTAAACGTTTCATGATGTGGTATGTGCCTAATCGGAAATCGGTGTGTATACAAACGAGAAGCAGCTCGCGAATTTTGCCCTGCTTCTCCGTACGCTAAAACAATGTCCACTAACTCCTTATTAGTATACACATGTGCCATTTTTATTAAAAATACTTTCTTATTTTACTTCACAAAAGTCCACCGTTCTTCGTTCAGATCACCCACGATACAGATTAAACCTTATTTACACGTTCTTATCAGTATGAAAATACAAAAAATTCCTGGTAATTTGTTTTCGTCAGTTGTTTGGTACAACATTTGCTACAATAAATTATTAATGAGTGTTCTAATATGACTACAGTAAACGCAAAAAACAGATATTTATTTTTCAATTTATTATTGAAACTCAGGTTTATAACTTAATTTCTGTAGGACTTTTATTACATTGTTTTTTAAATCAACTACTTTCGCAACAGTGCATGTGTGGTTAAAATTTGTCTGATAAGTTGTGATACACCCTGTACACTGTAGGAATAAAGTCCTATCAAGTGAGGAGGAGGGTAGTCTTGGCACTGTTGTTAAGATACAAAGTAGGAACAAACCCATGAATAAATTGCCAGATTAGACTTTGCGTCAACTTCTTGAGGAATTCCAGTTACTTTTGGTCCTTTTTCCTGGATATCAACCTTTGTTATTTGACGCGATTACGTTTTGTGATTTGAGATTAAAATTAAAATCCATACAGTTTGGCTTCGCGCTTTGGTGTTAATTTAGGATTTAATATTTCAACAAAACCAATCAGTATGTAAGCATTCTGGCAACTTTTTAATGGTTAGGTTCATTATACATTATACAGGTTGTCCAATAAGTACCACGACAAACTTAAGGAGAAGCTAGGCTTTGAACTGGCCTCTCAAATAACAAAAACTTAGATATTGAATTTTTTCTAAAATTTAAAAAAACTAACTTTTTGATCTGTGGTCTTCAGCTGCATATACAAATAAGGTTATATTTTGTTAATTTTTTCTACAAAATACTTATAGGTGGTTGCTTTACCATATTCAAATGCAATGTAGTTAAAAGATATTAAGGAACCTTGATAAAATAAGGACTGTTTTAAAATCATATCAGGAGCAGGTCATAATAATGTAGCTTTGTACTATGTAGCATGTCACTGATTGGTAACCAGTGCAATTTGAATTTAAATCCGATAATTACATTGTAGTGTGTGTCAGTCACTTTCAAAAGCAGCTATCACTTTTTTCTATTCCAAATAGTACGTGTGCTGCCTGTCTGAAATCTGTTTTCAATCAGCAATCTTTCTATTCAATATAATGCAGTTATAGCCCAGTGCATATTTGTTTCACCACAGATGGTCAAAGTTGAGGAAAATATATCAGGTTATAAATCCCAAAATAGTCCTTATTTGATCATGGTTCCTGAATATCTCTTAACTAAATTGTATTTGTATATGATAAAGCAACTACCTAGAAGTATTTTATAGAAAAAACGAACAAAGTATAACCTTATTTGTACATGCAGCTAAAGACCATAGATGAAAAGGTTCGTTTTTTAAGATTTAAGAAAAAATTCAATATCTCAAAAACGGTGCACTTTTATATAGGTAAGTCTTTGTTATTTGGGAGGTCGGTCCAAAGCCTACCTTCTCCTTAAGTTCGTCGTGGCACTTATTGGACACTCTGTATAAATCACGTCTTGGCCGTCCTCTCGTACATTGATGAGACCTGGCATTTCTTTGAATTTAAGGATGTATTTTCCCTTAATTGTTTCCCCATCAGAAAGTAGAAGATCGAAAATGGCAGGTAAAGAGTTAAATTGAAAAAATGGGAATTTTCGGATTTAGGATACCTGCAGCATTTTCTCTACCTTGCGTAGAAATTATTTAGGAAACTAGACTTTCTATAGATATTTTGAGAGACTACAGTATCGAGAAGGTTTTAATCACTATAGACAGGTTAGCCGCCTACTATTTTTTTATACGGGCCGAGTTGAATCTGCTGTCATAGTTTTGACATCAGACAAAATTGCAGATTACATTGCTGTTCCTACATTAACTGGACTAAATTTTCACTTATCGCTTTTCTACAGCGGCACATAATTTGGTAACATATCCTGTGAATCTGATTGAAAAAACGACTTCAGAAAAAATAGAACAGTCCCAAATGTAGCGATTTTCCACAAATTCAAAAAAAGGGGATAACTCAAAAACCGTGCAAAATCGGATAAGGACATATACGGTCCTACTGATTGCACATGGCTTGTTCCGTGACTTTTGGGACATCCTGAGGCTGGTATCATAGGAAAAGCTATTTGTGTTGGTATGCTTGACTTGAAATAATTTAACTATGTAATTTCGTTACCTGTTACCTTGAAGAACTTCATCAATTTTTCTGATAATTTATTCATGAATTCATTTGATTGTGCCTATATGAGTTATTTGGAATGCAGCCACGCCCAAGAATTAGGCCAGTTCTTTGTCTAGTCATGTCAAGCTTTCGTAAATTTTTCGTTCATCAGGACATACTACAAAGAATATTAGAGACCATTACAGTATAACGAACATTTGTGAGAGTCTGACATAATCACAAAACGATCTTTCTTTCTGTAACTTGATCTCTCACCGCTGCCCAGCTCGTGCTGGCCAGTATAATGGTCAGTACTTTCGGTAGGGTTGGGAGAAAAATTTTAGCTGCCAGCGTTATCAAATGGAAGGGGATTATAAATTCATAAGGGTCTGTTTGGCTCTATTGATCCACTATTTTTTTTTCCTTTATACATGTTCGCAGTTAAGAGGTGCCAAGCCAACCTACTTGACGTGATTTCTTTAGTTTTTTATTTATCAACATTCGTAGTTTGTCCTTTTTTTATGTCACTGGGAGGGTTTGCTTTGGCTGGATTTAATATCTATCAACCTAACATAGTATACATTATTGTTCCATTGCAGACAAGGTATTACTGCAAGTATCTAGAAGGGTCCTTCAAGCTGCCAAGTACACAAGATATGTTAGAGGATACAGAGGAGGAAAAAAGATGGCGAAGTGAGAAAGGCATTCCCTCGAACAGATTTCATATGATGGGCCTTTTGGAGCAAAAGTATTACGACAATTTGGCTGAGGAAGCATGTATTGCTCGAGTCCCTTCGGTGGTTGCGAAAATCAAGTTTGCTACCAAGGACAGACAAACCGAGGATCTCAAGAACTATAGAAAAGATCGTTATGTTGTCTTGGACGACAAAAATTTCGTCATTTACAAGTCATATTCATCGCGTCAACGAGATTGCTAGCACTAACAACTACCTCAATCGAATGCGCCACAAGAACTTCTAAAGTATAAAAAATGTTTTTGAGACTATAATAAAATATTTTTCCACATTAATGTATCCTGATTTATTTTGTTACGAGCGATTTCACTAACACCAATATGCCTTAAAGAGATCATAGTATTTCCTGGTGTTGTCATTTGACCAGTGGTATAAAATAGGTAGGACTCAATCTTCGTGAAGTACGCAATTCTTGGAACACTAGCCAAAGCAGGAGCCCAAGAGTCCACTGGGTCTACTTCGATCAGTCTCATTTTGAGATCATCCTCCTAGGAAATATATCCCAGCTAATGAAATCAAGGGCGGATTTAGAGGAAGGCTATTTTTGTCAAGAAAGTAATGACAAACTGCCCTGTCTTGGCGTAAAAATTACTTTGTTAGATGTGAATCGTGAAACGTGAGCTCTCCCTAGACGTATCTCACCCCCTCCCCGCTCTTTAATTGTCATGAGGCGATTTGAAAAATTTTAGTGAAGTTGATTTAGCTTGTGAATATTTCTATTTTGAGATCTATAAAATTCTTGATTGTTGTGTTCCTAAAGTTAGAATATCTTATAATAATAGTTGTCCTCCTTGGTACAACAGCAATATCATTAGAACCCTCAAACAAAAAATGGTGGCATTCAAGACTTTCAGACGCACTGGTGATACTTATTATATAGAAAAATTTATAAGACCTCGCTCAGAGATCAAGCAACATGTAGCTGTTTCATATCGTCGCTACATTCACTCTTTAGAGTGTGAAATATCCAACAGCTCCTGCAAATTCTGGTCTTTTGTTAATAGAAAAAGAACCTGCACTGGTATTCCGAAGGATATGCTGGGATTGAATACACCTAACGATGTTGTTGGCGCATTTGCGGAACACTTTAGTGGGAGCTATAATACTCCAACAGCACAATCTAATTTTTCTACTGACTACCATTTCACTACTACACTAGCTATCCCTAGTGTACAGGAAATCGATGTGCTACAGGCGCTCAAGAAAATTAAGCCAAAAATGACTGCAGGGCCTGATCAGATACCTGCCTCTTTTGTGAGAGATTGTGCGTCCATTTTAGCAAATCCACTCATGATCATTTTCAATCTCTCTCTGAAAAATAACCACTTTCCATCTATTTGGAAGTTGTCTAGGGTAACTCCTGTTTTTAAAAAAGGTGAGAGGAATTATGTAGAAAACTATCGGTATATCACAATTATCAGTTTTTTCGCTAAACCATTCGAAATGGTGATACAAACTGTGCTATATTTTCATGTAAGCAGGTCTATCTCCGTCAGTCAACACGGTTTCATGAAGGGCAGGTTCACAGTTACTAACTTGCTACATCTTACTCAATATGTTTGTGAATCAATCGATAGACAACCTCAAACGGATGTAATCTATACTGATTTCTCTAAAGCGTTTGATAGTTTAGACCATAACATTCTACTCAATAAGTTATCTAGATTTGGTCTTTCAGATGCATTGTTGCTATTTTTCAGATCTTATTTATGTCATAGGAAACAATATGTTATGTGCAATGGACATAAGTCAAGCGAATACCCTGTAATGTTCGGTGTTCCTCAAGGATCTAATTTGGGACCTCTGTTATTTATTATGTTCATAAATGATATTTCTGAAGTTATCGATGTCGATTTTCTTATATATGCTGACGATATGAAACTTTTCTGTAGAGTCTCTAACATTGACGATTGTCATCGCTTGCAATGCAATATTGTAAGGGTTGACAACTGGTGTCGTGAAAACAGACTTGTTTTGAATGCTGCTAAGTGTCACATTTTGTCGTTTACTTTAAAAACCAGGGTAATGATGTATGATTATAGTATTGGTGACAGGAAACTTGACAGACCTAGTACAATTAATGACTTGGGAGTCACATTTGACAGAAAACTTTCCTTCTCCTATCACATTGAAAATGCTGTTGTGGCTGCATCAAAGGCACATGGTTTTATAGTAAGAAATACCGGTGATTTCCACAACTTTTTTACACTGAAAATACTGTACTATGCTTATGTAAGATCTAAGCTTGAGTATGCGTCCTTGGTATGGTATCCTCATCATCAAATATATATTGACCGCTTAGAGTCCGTTCAAAGAAAGTTTTTAAAATACCTCTCATACAAAGCTGACGGGATATATCCCGCTATTGGCTTTCCTCATAATGAGTTGATGGCGAGACACAAAATCTATAATTTAGAGAGCAGACGCAAAATGAACTCACTTAAGTTCATTTACAAGCTCATCCATGGCATCATTGACTCCAGTGTCATCTTAGAACAACTTAACTTCTTAATTCCTAGAATAGCGTCACGAACTAGTTTAACTTTTTACTTAGCTAGGCTTAGGACTGACATACTTAAGTTTTCCCCTATATATATAATGTGCCGTAATTATAATTCAGTTAATAGCGTTTTAGATATATTTTCGTTTTGTGCGACTTTGGGAGACATTAATGCTTATTTTCGTTAATGCTTGCCGGTGTGATTGTTGAGTGCTGGGTAGGTAAAGCTAGAACGCTTTCTTTTCCTCCCAGTTCTGTTTTGAGGTTTTTTTTGCAGCGTTTCAGATTTCTCTACATACATCCACCAACATGCATTTGTTTATATTTTCATGTTTATCCATCCTATAATTGGCTATGGCTGTTGGATGTTGCTAAATAAATAAATACAAATTTGCGCTTTCAGAAACGATGCCCCCTAAGACGAAGATCTTACATTTTACCACCGTTGCGCCCCCTCCTCTCCTAGACAGATTATGAAATCCGCCCCTGAGCGAAATAGGTATCAAATCAAGGCAGCATCGATACAGGCATTATTAATAATCATGCTTTATTGCAGACCAGGTATGACTATATTATACAGGGTGTCCCAGAAGTCGACGTCAAGCCGAAACCGGGTGATAGGCAAAGTCATAACAGCTATCAGAAAAATATTTAAAAAAAGTTTATGTATGTGTTTTGAAAATTATAGGTCTTTGAAAAAAATATAGAAATTTCACACCCTACGGCAGTCTGTCAACTCCTGTTACTACAAATATTAACTTTTTTTGGATTTTATTTCTACAATGTAATGATGAATAATGCATCTTCAAACTGGTGTCTCAACCTTACTGCCAACTTTTCTCGTTCAGGAAAAATTGCCACTTATTTCCCAACCAAGTATTCCAAAGTAAAACTTTGCTCAACTTTAACTGGCTGTACTGGAAAAAATGTACTACGAGAGTTTGGCAAGTTACCTTAAAAGTTGGCGCATTTAATAAGGATTCCAAAATGGTATAACACTTAGAAGATTACTCGTTAACTTATGCACAATTTTTATTTGAAGAAAAACTGATGAAAATTTTTCAAAATTTACTAATTAAACAGCGATTATGAAAACGCACAAGGACCCTTAAGGATAACTGTTTGCACAACAGTGGGCGTCAAAATGCTGCTGATGATGATTTACCTTTACAGCAAATGCTCAAACTGTTTTCCTTCAGCCGCAATACACGCTCGACATCTTCTTAAAAAAGATCGGGTTATTAAACGAGCGAATCCACGGTTATTAACAAACTCAGCTGCTTCCAATAGTCTTTGCCGTAGCTCAGCTACATTTTGAATCGGCTTGAAATACACTTTTTCTGTTACAGTTCCCCAGTAAAAAAAATCTTACGGATTCAAATCTGGTGACCGGGCTGGCCACGGTATTGTACCAGACCGCCCTATCCATCTGCCTGGAAAGTTTTGATCGAGATACTCTCTCACTGAGAGTGCATAGTGCGCTGGGCAGCCATCATGCTGAAACCACATGTCCCTGTAAATACTCAGTAGCACGTCCTCCAATAAATTTTCTAAATGATTTTGCAAAAAACCTAAATAAACCTCAGCAGTCAAAGTCTCTGGGAACTCAAACGGACCGATTATTTTACCATTTAAAATTCCTGTCCAATGGTTTATCTTGAAGCGTTATTGAGATTTATCTTCTCTCATTAAATGTGGGTTTGCTACGTGCCACTCGTGTAAGTTATGCAGGTTCATGTACCCATCTTCCTTAAATGTGGTCTCATCTGACCATAAAATTTTTTCAAAGAACCGTGGATCTTCCCTGTGTCTTTCTAACATTGTGGCAGAAGAGCTTGAACACGCTGTACGTGGTATGGATGGAGCACGTTTTTTTGCAAGATTCTATGGGCTGTACTTTTGGGCACACCTGTTTTTAGTTCTATTGCACGCACTGAAGTTCTCGGGTCTTCTTCGACAGCTCCTAGCACCACGTCTTCGTAAGGAAGGAAAGATTTTCCCTCACCGTGTGATTGGTTTGGTAGTTGACCCTCTGAGAACAGTAAGCGGTGCACATTTGTGAACACTCGATAATCTGGATGACGAGCTGCATTTGGGTACCTCTCACAGTAAAGTCTCGCTGCAGCACTAGCGTTGCATCTGCATTCCCCATAAATGAGGTGCATGTTAGCATACTCTTGTACGGTGTACACGGACATAGCGGCACCGCACGATCACACTATCAAAGATAGTCTAAGGAAAGCAAATGTTGTTTTGAAGAACAATTAAACAGTCCAAATCCAAATCACAAGCGATCAACAGTCCAGTTCACGAATCCAAAATTAGTAACAGTACGAAATCAACAAGCACGAACATGTAAAGATGCGCAGTAAACGAAGGAGTACTGATCGGTATCAAAGTGTGCAATAGCAAGTAAGTAATGTGCTTCATCCATACCACATACAGCGTGTTCAACCTCTCCTGCCCCGGGATTATGAGGTACCCGAGTTGCTTTTTGTCGCACAATGTTAGAAAGACACAGGAAAGATCCACAGTTCTTTGAAAAAATTTTATGGTCGGATGAAACCACATTTAAGAAAGATGGGTACATGAACCTGCATAACTTACACGAGTGGCACGTAGCAAACCCACATTTGATGAGAGAAGATAAATCTTAATACCGCTTCAAGATAAACCATTGGACAGGAATTTTAAATGGTAAAATAATCGGTCCGTTTGAGTTCCCAGGGACTTTGACTGCTGAAGTTTATTTGGATTTTTTGAAAAATCATGTACAAAATTTATTGGTGGACGTGCCACTGAGTATTTACAGGGACATGTGGTTTCAGCATAATGGCTGCCCAGCGCACTATGCACTCTCAGTGAGAGGGTATCTCGATCAAAACTTTCCAGGCAGATGGATACGGCGGTCTGGTATAATACCATGGCCAGCCTGATCACCTCATTAGATTTTTTTACTGGGGAACTGTAAAAGAAAAAGTGTATTTCAAGCCGATTCAAAATGTAGCTGAGCTACGGCAAAAACTATTGGAAGCAGCTGAGTTTGCTAATAACCGTGGATTCGCTCGTTTAATAACCCGATCTTTTTTAAGAAGTTGTCGAGCGTGTATTGTGGCTGAAGGAAAACAGTTTGAGCATTTGCTGTAAAGGTCATCATCAGCAGCATTTTGACGCCCACTGTAGTGCAAACAGTTATCCTTAAGGGTCCTTGTGCGTTTTCATAATCGCTGTTTAATTAGGAAATTTTGAAAAATTTTCATCAGTTTTTTTTTCAAATAAAAATTGTGCATAAGTTAACGAGTAATCTTCTAAGTGTTACACCATTTTGGAATCGTTATTAAATGCGCCAACTTTTGAGGTTACTTGCCAAACTCTCGTAGTACATTTTTTTCCAGTACAGCCAGTTAAAGTTGAGCAAGTTTTACTTTGGAATACTTGGTTGGGAAATAAGTGGCAATTTTTCCTGAACGAGAAAAGTTGGCAGTAAGGTTGAGATACCAGTTTGAAGATGCATTATTCATCATTACATTGTAAAAATAAAATCCAAAAAAAGTTAATATTTGTAGTAACAGGAGTTGACAGACTGCCGTAGGGTGTGAAATTTCTATATCTTTTTCAAAGACCTATAATTTTCAAAACACATACATAAAATTTTTTTAAATATTTTTCTGATAGCTGTTATGACTTTGCCTATCACCCGGTTTCGGCTTGACGTCGACTTGTGAGACACCCTGTATGTAGTATATACGGTGTTTATCAAAAAGGTGTTCCAAACTTCCAAATATGTAGGAGTTTTGTTATGAGAGAGTGAAGTACTATCAATTTATACCTTCAGCCTTTTGTTTGCAAGCCTCTAATTGGGCTATCACACGCGAAAAAATCCTACACTTTAAGTTGATGACTGCTATATACTCTCGAAATATTCTTCTTGATTTTCTTTGTGACCCTTACATTCCTATTATACTTTTGAAGGCAGAATAGTGGAGCTTAGATACGCAGATTCTTACTTAAAATGAATACTATGCATATACTATAAATTAGTTATATTTATTATAATAATTATTTACACGTATACTCTTCAGTTCTTTCGTTACAAGTCTCACACTCCACTTTACAACACCAATGAAATTTACATCTGCATTGGAATGTTTTCATGTACTGGTGCGTGTTATAGCCTCTACCGCAGCACATCATGTCACAACCATCAATGCCTGAAACAAAAAAATAATAATAATACGACTATTTTTGGAATACATCCATTTCAGTACTAAGTTGGTATTGTTGTACCTCCTTGGACGCTAAATAATTACAACTTAATATATATGCAAGCTTGCATAATAACAGGCCAATGAAAATATTCCTTCCTTTCCTTGTAAACCTAATAGGAAAGCTTCTCCTGATGACAAAATTCTGCCGTCTTGGAAATTCCAAAATCTTTCATATACAGTATGATGTTGAATTTGTTGAATACATGTATTTCATTGCGTCTCAACAAAGTGGTGATTGTATTTGTACATTTTTTTTAGCAAATAAAGCCGCAAGGAATACAAATTAAAATCTTAAATAACGTTTTGTTAGCATCATATTCCTGAATCATTTTGATAAATACTGTAAACCTCTATTTATTTCAAAAACTGATCGGAGTTCCAGCATGTGAGTTTTCGAAGAAAGAGAAAAAGATTGTTTGCAATATTATGCGGATTCAACTTTTCATACTTTTTTTATAAGTTGTATATATGTCGTAGCCACATCGCAAAATTGCCCATTTCGTAAAATATAAAGGTCCTCTAGTCTTTTGCTTTTATGGTCAGAATATTTTACAATATGGTTAATCGTGGATGACCAAATCGACGATTTGACAATAAGGTTAAATTTACCAATTCACCGACTGCTCCATTATTTCATGAAAAAGACAATTTACGATATGGATATGTCATATGCACTTCCACCATATTCTCAATACAAAATACCTGGGTAGCCGGGACAAAAGTATCATTCTCCATACATAGTGATGATTTGTTTTAAAAAATCCAACCGATTTTATCAATGTTCGCTTTGTATAAAAAATCAAATAATGTTATTCAGACCTCTAGAGAGAGCACTCACTAGAATGTGGATCAAAAGAAAGCAGCGAATTTAAGGTCTTGATTTGTTTGTGATAAAAAGGTGAGAAAGCAAATAAACATTTTCTGTAATTTTACCTCTAGAAGTTCTATTGCAGCTCCTTCCAAAGGTTCCCAAAGAACCCGCCGCCAGATCTCTTTCACAGTAGTTGGGAGATAGTTGCAGATAAACTAAATCTGATTTCTTTGGGGGCTTCTTTAAGACAGTCCTGCCTTTTAGGAGAACCAGATGCATTTTTCTGCTCTTCCTTGGAAAACTGTTGGTATCTCTCGGGCCCAGTTGTGGCGTAGACCGCACCGATACTGCTCGAGCTCTGGAAAATCGATACATAAGACATTTTAAGAGCTCTCTCCTTCATCAAAAAACCTTCAGTTATTATGAGTTTACATATTGTTAATATAAAATGGAAAACTCATTGTTATGAAAATCAGATGTCACTATAGGAAAGAACAGGAAACGTTAATAAAGAGAGAGGGGGAGTGGGCTCCGGAACACGGTTTATAGGGTACCCCAAGTATGCGTAAAAAGTCATTACACGCCCTAAAAACTGTCGCACAATTTGTAGGTTAGGAGATACAGCCAAAAGTAAAGTATTTTTCACGAGTTCTCATTACGTCAAGCGTGTTAGTTGATTACCTTGTGACATTCCAAAATACTTCATATCGACAAGTGACAAACAATTTTGATGGATCTGTCAATGCTAGATCTTTAGACAGAGTCGTCTTTTCTTGTAGTCTTTTTTATGCTACAGATTCGTACTTCCTTTTATTTAGAAAAGTTGGTTCTCCCACAAGAAAAAGCGCTACAAGCTCAATGGCTACCAATGATCATGACCATATTTCAAGTTAGGTAGAGATAAAGCAAGTTAAACAATTTTGGAGTGCTTGGAATAAAGACTATCGGATACGGAAAATTATGGAAAAGTCAATGGTCGAGAAAATTCATATTTATAAATTATGGTTTTTGCAGCTATGGCTTGGATTTTTTGCACCGTTTTAATAATCAAGAGATCGTATTTCTGTCATTAAAAGGCACCAAAGAAATATTGAACATGAAGCATTTTGACTTGTTACAGTATTCTTTCAAACGCTCTTACCTGGGTTGTCAGATCTTCTTTCAAATATTCGGAACGAGCCAAGCCTATATTGCATTGTTTGTCGCCAAAATTTTGTTGTTCTAGCGCATACTTTTGACTAATTCGCCTAACGTTGCCTACCAATATTACTTTTGTTGGACGCTATATCACGAAAAACCGTGTCACTCATTTCGGTCGGTCTGTCTGTCTAGCTGCCCTACGGAAACTTCTAAAACTTGTCACACAAGGTTACTATTATGCCAGTGACGAAAAAGCCCGATAGAAAAGTGTCTAGTGACGGCGGAGAAAAAATCCAAAAACCAGAGAAACAAAAATCGCTCAAACTTAGTTTTTTGACGTTTTAGAGGATTGGTGGGTGATGGAGAGAAACCATCTCATTTTTTTATTTCATTTTTTCTTAATAGTTGCGATCCAAGCAGATTCTTGGCTAAAAGCAAATAGTTGACCATAATATGATAATTGCTACTATTATAACATTGTCACTATATTCATTTAATAAAAAGAGTTAGAAGCGTTCTAATTAATTTGATATTTATAGTTCCTTTTCAAAAATACTGATCCTCTACCTCTACATAATTTCGTGACACCAAAATGAGATCGCAATGTTACTACTTACACCGCGAAAGTATTTTATCTAGGAATCTTTAGACTCAAAATTAAAGTAGACAAAATTAGTTTTAGTTTAGTTGGATTAAAATTTGAGTTCAGTATCCGTCACAAATTTTGGTTTTTCTTCAATATTTTGCATTTTTCTATATTATCGTTAGGTACACAGTTCTGTTAACAAACCTTAGTGAGTACTCAATGAAACAAGACGTGAAATAAAACAACAATAATGTCTAATAATACTTATCGATGAAAAGATGTGCTCCTGTTTGGTTTAAACTGCTTTTTGCAATCCACAAAAAACCTTCATCATTTTCCGCAACTGACCGGCACGCTAGGATTGTATGGAAACCACGTACTTTTATATGATCTCGCAAAAAGTGCGAATTTACTGTGAAATATCCACAACTGTCAAACTGACAACTTAAGCCTAATCTACTTGCATCCTGTCTAGTGACTATGTAATTTTGAAGACAAACAAATCGTAGGCTTGCTTCTCCTGCCTAGTCCTAATCCGTAGGCTTCAATTGATAGACACATTTAATTTATCACAAGCTAGTTGAAGAGAGGAGCTGCCATTCTAAATACCTCCACCCACCTGTAATATTTCTTCATAAGGTTGTCCCCGATCTGTCTGAAGGGCGGCAACGACTTCCAGCACGTCTTCATAGTGCAGCTGCCGGACACGCCGTGGCATTTGCATTCCACTATGAGATTCTGTTTAACGGCCTGTAGATTAAACGTTACGTTAAAATCAATTAAAAAACCACCTACTGGAAACCATCCGCCGTAAAGGACTTATCGCTCGTTGAATACATCAGCGGCGGCTCTTTCGTAAATATAGGGATAGGTTAGAGGCAATGACAATAATCCGGGCATTGTTGTTAATGACCAGGCTATGACGTTAATGTCCAGCCATATTAGGCAATGTTGACAAAAACGTAATGCAAGCGCGCTGTATACATCATTGGCTGGGAAGTCACGTTTTATACACAATGTGTGGTTATGTTTTGCATTTACACGCACATGTACTGATAGTTGAGTTAATTTTGAGCCAATTTTACTATTTAAACCAGTATGGAATTCTGTTAAAATGTGCCGTCGACTGACTGGAAGCATTAATGTTATTTTAGAAACTAAACATGTGAGGAATCTAGGCGCGGATCCAGAATCACGTTTTGGAAGGGGGGTACTGTGGGCTGACTACATTCAGAGGGTATTGTTAAGTCGTTTACGAATATTAACAACTATTAAAGAAGGGAAATAATAAACAGCAGTGTAAGAATAGAATACAGTTTTCAAACAAAAAACAATGTGGTCTCTCCTTCTTTTCCCTTTCCTCATTTTTATCCTGCAAGTCTGAGGCCTTGGAGGGGGCAATGGCACCACCTGGAGGAATATCATGACAGTAAGAAAAATCAATTAAATATGTTGACGTCAACGCCAAGCTCCTGGTCTTAATAAAATTTGTTTTGTCTAGGTTTTCTCTAAAGTTTTTTGCTACTATAAGTATCGTTAGAATAGTACATCACATAACTAGTTTGAGAAGTGTGTTATTACTGCTCGAGCACCTTTATATTAATAACCTGTGGCGAGGCGAACAACGACTTTCGCAAATGAGGTATGTGCAGAATTTTTTTACTACTTACACTATACAGGGTTATCCAAATTAAGTGTCCACCATTAGTAACTTTGTTATTAGTGAAAATACAAAGTTGTTTGAATTAGCAAACTAGTAGCATTTTTAACGCTGGTAAAAATGAGAAATAAAAAAAAACAATTGAGAGTCGTTATTTTGATTTTTTTCAGTAAAATAACATTTTTTTAAATGGAAACCCCTGTATATTATATTTTTTTCTGTTAAAGCATCAAATTTTAAACAAAAAAGTTCATAATGACTTTTCCGCTAAAGTCAAAAATAAAGTCAAAATAACGATAAATATTTTTAATTATTTGCAGTATTATAATATTAAGACGGCTATGAAAACAACATGGCGTTCGCGATTTGACAGCATTAAGATAAGCGACAAATTGTTAAACTGGACATATTCGCAACTAGAAGGCTTTGGAAAACAATGATAAAATCAAATAATGTCAAACATTAGTGTAAATACTTGTTTATAAGCTTTATTGTGACATTAATTTAAAGAAAAATGTTCTCCCATGAAGAAAAGTGTGATATGTTAGAATGCTATTTAGTGTGCAGAAAATCCTACTTGAGAGCAAGAGAATACTACAGTGAATTATATCCCGCTCGCATTCAACCGTATGAACGATATTTTCTGAGACTTTATCGAAAATTTAGGGGCAACGAAAATGTTTTTGCTAAAACAAGGGCAAAAAAAGAATTCATAATAAGCGAGGCCACGGAAATTGCAGTTATTGGATATTTTGAAGCTTATCGTGAGAATTCAATAGCAGATATTCTCAAGGACTCTAATTTCAGTTATGGTACTGTTCAAAGGATTTTAAAAAAATACAAATTTATTCCGTATAAGTACCGACCAGTTCAAACGCTTTTGGCAGGGGATCCAGAGAGAAGACTTGTTTTTTGCCATTGGTATCTTAGCTTCTGTCGCCAAAATGTAAATAACTTTCGTTACCTTTTATGGACAGATGAATCAAATTTTTCAAATTCTGGAATGTTTAATAGAAAAAACCACCATTATTGGTCAAGAGAAAATCTTTTGTTAGTACATCCAAGAGGCCCACAAGTCCGTTTCAGTTTCAACGTTTGGTGCGGTATAATTGGTTCAAAAATTGTTGGCCCGTTCTTTTATGAGGGAACCCTAACTGGTGAAAGATATATTTATGTCAGAAATTCTGACTAATTTCTTAGACGAATTGGATCTTATAAGTAGACATCATCTGCATTTTCAGCAAGATGGCGCACCTGCCCACAACTCCAGAAGTACTTATCATTTTCTAAGTACTACTTTTAATGATCAGTGGATACTAACAAATGGCCCAATACAGTGGCCTCCCAGATCACCAGATCTAAGCCCACTTGATTACTTCTTGTGGGGTTACTTAAAGAACCAAATTTACAAGCGAAGGTACGATAACCTTGACGCGTTAAAGACTGCAGTTAGGGAAAAGATAACCCAGATAGATGGTAGGACCATACTTAAGACAGTTCGAGCAGTTGAAAAACGTGCCCAAAAATGTATTGAAGAACAAGGTGGTGTTTTCGAGCATCTTCTTTAAAAAAAATTGTTATTGTATTTTGTAAGATTATAAGTTGATGTTGAAAATAAAGTTTGTCGATACAATTTAATTGTTTCAGATTGGAGGCCATAACTTCAACAATTTGTAACCTAGGAGAAAAGTTATTGTAAGCTTTTTTGTTTAAAATTTGATGCTTTAACAGAAAAAAATATAATATACAGGGGTTTCCATTTAAAAAAATGTTATTTTACTGAAAAAAATCAAAATAACGACTCTCAATTGTTTTTTTTTATTTCTCATTTTTACCAGCGTTAAAAATGCTACTAGTTTGCTAATTCAAACAACTTTGTATTTTCACTAATAACAAAGTTACTAATGGTGGACACTTAATTTGGATAACCCTGTATATCACAAAATAATCGATTTTACGTCACGATCATGACGGTTTCAACTCGTTTACAAATACTTGATGATATATACCTAGTTATGTGCTATCAGATCTAAGGTTTGAATTAATGAATGTAACCGACAGCCGATTTTGTTGGAAAGTAGTGGAGAGTAGTGAGGCGCAAATATTTACTTTGTATTAACGTTAAAAGCCGTTATCAATGTATTATGAGTAGCTTTACTCAAAATTACTCATTTTTCATTTGTTCTAAAATATTTTGAAGTTGTCCAACTGGCACAATAAAATTGACAAGACACAACCTCAAAATACATTACTATGTGCCAAGATGTTTTTTGTATGCATCTTCTCATGGGGAGCCGAGCACCAGTTCTCAATAAGGCATTGCGGTCAATTATGGTGACTTCCCGGGTTAGCAGTGGAAAAAATATTTTCGATCTGTTGTCCAGCCCTCTTTGATCATTTATTAACATTAATGGTTGGACAAAGACGTTAAAATTATAATATTAACAACAATGCCAGGTCATTAACTTTAATGCCCAACTGTCTCGTCTCTTACTATATAGAGTGTCCCAGAATATCATGGCAATCTCTCCGATGCATAAATAATGCACAAATTCCTGATAAAAATATCCTAAAGGGTGCGGAGCTCCCCTGCGGAGATACAGGACTCCAATGCTCGCTACTCAAAATTGGTTTTTGCTAAGCAGCTTTTGAAGAGAAATGTTTGATGCATCTAAATTTTGATTGAGTAGTAACCATTTGGGGAGCCCGTAGAAGACAACTTCGTTCGCCAAAGATGGAATAGTCTAAACATAGTATTGCTGATTTCTTTACACCCTGTATAATAATGACCCAATTATGAAATATTTTTGAAACTCTGATCTTTCAGATGACTTCAATTAATTACTGCATTTTTTGTGAAAAATGTTGTTGTAATGTAACATCTGAACCACGAAATCTTACATCTTTGTTGAAAAGTATTCAATTTTGGTACTGCGCCACAGGTTTAATACAAAATTTCATGTTCAAGCTTTGGTCTTGTTACTTCCCACTCATAGAAGAGAGTGAAACTGCTCAGAGTAGATGTTTTGGATGCAAGTAAAATATTGCTTTAGGTTGTTTAACTTTCCCAGATCAAAATAACAAGAGCTACCACTGGTATACATTAGCACCGGGATATAAATATTGATCTGTCATTGGGAAAGTCTGCTGATATTAAACCATCGACATTCGGCTGTTTAGTAAGTGCCTCTGTCTATGTTCCTGTATACATCTGATTAAAAAGCTGTAAAAGGCACATAAAATCAATAAATTTAGTTGATGGTATAGGAATGGTTTTATTGCAGAAGAGCTTGTTGACATGCCCAAGAGTTACGTCTCGAATCTTCAAATGAGATTACAGCATCAATATAAATTTTAACAAGATTTGTGTACGACTGGGTAGTATGCGACATGAGATATGAAGGATGTTAATGTGGAACGAAGAGGCAGATTGTTGTTTTGCACGCTCAGCATCTAAGCCTTTTACGTCTATGACTACACAAAGGCGATCACATATTTAAAATATTCATAAAAGTTTGCCCTATGAACAAGATGTTTATAAGCTTTTCTCATACACACCGCCACAAATTCTGAACATCCTAACTATAAAAAGGCCCATTTCTGTTACAGATCTATGCACTGGTCTCTACTGGCATCTGGTCCCCATAATTAGTAGTGTGGCTATAATATTATGGAAGCTCTTTTCTATATGTAGAGACATTACTGATTAATTACGATTATTGTATTGTAATACCAAAATGAGAAACATATGTACGTCAAATTACTTGTAAATGTAAAACTCAAGACTTGTAACTTCTATAGTATTTGTGATTGCAGATCCCTGATTTCTGTAATGCTTTGTCTAATATGTGTGCTCAGCATAACGTAAGCTGCTTGGATGATGCTCTTGTATTATATATTGGTATATAGAAGATACAGGTATACATGCTTCATTTGACCAGTTCAAATTGCATCAACATCCATCAATAATTTAATGATAGTCTGTTATATAAGCATGGTTGCCAATAATAGTGTGATGTAAATCATCCCTGTTAGCAATAAATTATCGAAGCAAAATCAAGATAATTGGCTTTGCAGTAAAACAGCAACA